AACTACGGCCCGTGGGCCGGATCCAGCCCGTTTGAAATGAATAAAACTAAAAAAAAAAAAAAAGACCATACCCTTTTATGTAATGATGGTTACTTTGAATTTATATCAGTTCACACAAACACTCTCTCCATGCTTTTGTTCCGGCCTCCGGTCCAGTTTAAGAACCCATTGTGGCCCTCGAGTCAGAAAGTTTGCCCACCCCTGGGTTAGACTGAGTCAGATGCTGCTGTGGTTTTATCTTGTATCTGAGAAATGCTTCCACCTCCACCCCTCATTTCCCATGCCTGGGGTCAGACCAGGCCCCATCCCTTGGACTAAGGGGACCTTCCTACAGTTGGCAGGTGCTGTCCTGATGCCCCCATTGTCACCACCTTTTTCTACACACAGTTCTGATTCAGGAGCTAAATTTATTACCAGCCCCTTTTAGAAAAATCTTCCCCCAGAAGCTGCAGATAAAGAGTCAGTGACAAAGATGATCAAGTCAGTGTTTATAAAAGAAAAGATTTGTAAATAACCTAATTGTTCCATAGTGGAGTAGTGGTTAAGTAAATTTCATAGTTTTATGACAACATATTATGTTGCTATTAAGTTTTCTTTCAAAAAATGTTAATGTTTTCTATATACAAGATTGCTTTCACAATCTCACCCGGTTTGGTGTCTGCCCACAGCCTGTCCTGGGGGTACAGAGAAGCCCTGCGGTGGCTACGGGCATTGTGAAGGGGAAGGGACTCGAGGGGGCAGCGGGCACTGTGACTGCCAAGCCGGCTATGGGGGTGAGGCCTGTGGCCAATGCAGCCTCGGCTACTTTGAGGTGGAGCGCAACGCCAGCCATCTGGTATGTTCGGGTAGGTAGCCGAAAGGTGAGGCGCTGGGCAGGGGCTGATGGGATGCCTGCCTGCTCATTCTCTTACTTCCGCCATTCCCCCCAGCTTGCTTTGGCCCCTGTGCCCGCTGCTCAGGACCTGAGGAATCCAACTGTTTACAGTGCAAGAGGGGCTGGGCCCTGCATCACCTCAAGTGTGTAGGTGAGTGGGGCTGTGCCTTAGGTCTGGGAGGTAGATGGGCCTGGGCTTGGTTCTCCGTCAATACCCACATCTCTGGGCTAGACCAACACAGTTCCCATCTTTATGGAGATCTCAGCCTGGTTGGGAAGGCAGAAAAGTAATCAGGCACTTACAGTACAGACTGATCTTTGTACAATGAGAGATGTCCCTAATCCAGCTGGGTGATGGTAAGGAATCAGGAAAGGCTTCTTAGAGGAGAGACCATTTAGACCAGCGGTTCTCAACCTGTGGGTCGCGACCCCTTTGGCGGTCGAACGACCCTTTCACAGGGGTCGCCTAAGACCATCCTGCATATCAGATATTTACA